TATATTCATTGATATTCTGGGAACACTTTCAAAATTTGGGTTTTATGCTGTTATTATGGCATCCCATAATTCTTCTAGATTGGTTGGCTGCAACATCCAGGATTCAGATCTTCCTTTCCACTGTATACCGAAGGTGCTTGATAGGATAGAGATCCAGTAACTGTGGAGGCCACTTTAACACAAAAAATCATTGCTGTTTTCCACGAACCAATCTGCCACTATTTTTTATTTGTCACATGGTGCGTTATCCTGTTGGGAGTGGATACCAAAGGATGGGTACAACGTAGTCATAAATTGAGGAAAGTGGCCAGCCATAACACCTAGGTGGGGCTGTGCATTTAAACAATCTTTTATTGGTAGAAAAAGTACCAATGTATGCTAAGAAAATATTCCCTGTATTATTACACTGTTACCACCAGCCTGAATCATTAATACAAACCAAGATGGGCCCTCACATTTTTTTTCTAATCATTTTACCCAAAGCAAGACCACAAAGACAGATGGTTACTGAGTGTGAAAGAATATGAGAAAATTAAAAACATTATTAAGAAGAGAGAACAATAAAAGAATAGAAATTAAGACAGAGGATAATGATTGGCATTGTATTTAAATCTTTGAAGATCAAACTTAACTGGAAAGCAAGAAGCTGGAAGAGATTTCCACCAGCACGAAGTGTGAGAAAAGAAACTTAGTATAGAACTTAAAGTTACATCTAGCGGTCATTTCAACAGTAACATTTTGAGATCCTGACACCAACCTAGTACTGCCCTTAAATTCATAGAGTCTAGGCACCATAGAGGAAAGTTCATCAGAATAATTACCATCAAAGTATTTCTAGAAAAGCCCAGGGAAGTTACATTACAGAGGTGGGAAAGTGAAGCGGAGACACTATTGCAGATTCTTTGGATTCATGTTTATGCCAAATTCTGGCTATACAGTCTGTATACCACTGCAGAAATTGAAATTCATCAGATGAAGCAATGTTCCGTCAAATTTCTTCTATTCTCCAATTTCAACAAGTTTTAACCACCTTTTCTTGTTCTTATCTGACAGGAGTAGCACCCAGCATGGCCCTCTGCTGTTGTAGTCCATCTACATCAAGGTTTCATGCATTGTGCATTCAGAGATGGTCTTCTGTATATCTCTGGTTATTGAGTGGTTATTTGAGCTGTTGTCACCTTTTTATCAACTTGAACAAATCTGGTTTTTATCCTCCAACGTCTTCATAAAAAAGGGATTTTCACTCACTCACTAAGTATTTTTTTCCTTATCTCACCATTCTTTGTAAGCCCATGTAAATCCATGTAGATCAGCAGTTATCAAAATATTGAGACCTGTCCATCTGACACCAATGACCATGTCACATTCAAAGTTATTTAAACCACCTTTCTCTTCCAAACTAATGCATGGAATGAAATTCAGCGGGTCACCATGTCTATGCTTAAGACTATAAATTGCTACCATGATTAGAAATTTGCATAAAAGTACATATGTTCATATGTACATAAATGGCCAGTGAGTGTATTTTGACACACTGGTACTCATTGGTCATGTAATGAAATTTCCTATTGTGTCAAACAAATGTACAGGCAAAAGCTTTATCTGTTTTTGAAAAATATTTCAAGAAACTTTTACAGCCTCTAGAAAGTGCTTATAGAAATTGGTTTTTGTTTCAGAATTTCTGAATCAGAAATAGCTAGACATGCATTTAATTACTTGAGACTTTGATAAGCTTGTTTGACATGAGTTAAATAAATATCACCCATATTGCTTTCACCATCATTTACAAATTGTCATGAATATCTAGAGCAACAAGACTCCGTACAAAGAAATTTATTTCAAGATATCTTGTCAGCTGCTCCAAGATAGTCACTGCTTTCACTACCTTCAAGACTATCTAATAGGAGTAGATGGGTTCCCTATCATCTGGTTCACACTCCTCGCCTGTCTTTTAAACAAGAGTAGAGGTTTATCACTCTTTTCTATTTTAGGATTGGGTTTCCAGTTCTTTCTAAAGTCTACTTCAACTCTATACTTCTAACATCTCCACCTAAACTCTGAAATTTGTTATTATTGGATTTCCAGTTCATTCTAAAGTCTTTTACTTCTCTTTCACATCCAGCAGATCCCTGTGTCTTAGTGGCATTATTGTCTTGCATGGAGCAAATTGATTAAAAAGAAAAATATACAAATGATTTTTAATTACTATGATTTCTTGCCAAAGTAAGAAAACCTAAGACAAAAGATTTCTTGTCAGTTAATGTTGAATGATGTTCTTTTACATGATGGAGAACTATTTTTCTAAGAAACAAGAAGAACAGTATTGTTGATAAGTAGAGGACAAATCTCAAAGAACTGTTAAGAAATAAAAAATCTAAATTAATTAAACCATTGTATCTATAGAACCTTAAGGCAAAAAAGTCATTATGAATAATCCAATTATTACATGTTCATATACTTGAAGTATTTCAGAAAGTTGAATGAAGATTAAGGTTTTGTTAAAGTTTTTCATTCTTAATCTCTAAGTTCAGTGATAGGCATTAGATTAAAAAAAATGTCTACATAAAGGGGAAAAAGTTGACTTAATTCATCCAACCTTCCTTTTATTATCAATTTGTTGATGGTTGTCTAGGCATAGAAAGTGTGACATCAACTGAAAGTATAGAAGCTTTAAGCAATCAAATTTAAACACATTTTTTATGAACTTAAGTTAAATATTCTGTCCACTGGATGATTTCATAGACATGCATTTAAACTATTATCATATATTTTATTATCAATAAACAAGTAGGTAAGTAAGAGCAAGAAGTGTGAAAGACCTACTCACAACTGGAAAACTATCTCAAACCAATTGTTTAAGGATTTTTTTCTGAAAATACTCTTTGCTGCATTATAGATAAATACATAACCTCTGATTACATTCTTTACACTGAGTTACATTTTACATTCATATATTTTTCTGATGAAAAGCTCTTAAGATTTTGGACCCTAGATAATTTAGAGATTTTTCTTTTTATCTCAACAGCAAGTCTTACAAGAAATGTACACAAAGGCAATACAAACAAAATCCATGTGCACATTTTCTCTGGTGCCATTAGAAAATAAGTAACAACAACAAAAAAATAATAACAAGAAGCAAACAGATAATATTCAATCAGCTTATCATTCAAAACAACATTGATAACAATAATTAAGCAGATGAGAAACAATAAAATTGATGGGGATGAACATCCACCCACACTTGTACAAACAACATGAAGTACAATAAATATAATTTGAAAATAAAATAAAGGACCTTTCAGATGGAAAAAAGAAAGAAAGAAAAGTAAACCTAAAAAAATTTTAAATTAAAAGGTTAAAAAAATTTAGTTAGTAAACCCTATCTTTACATTATTACAAATTGGCTATTGCCAATAATTTGTTAAAAGCAACATGTCTAGTCATCAAATAGATTACTTTAGTTTGACACGACAAAAAGTTATCTGCACTTTAATATTTGAAAGCACTTAGTAAATTGGTAGTATATTTGTAAAATTAGTCATACCAATCTGATATAAACAGCAGCATAGAACTAGACTGATCAAAACCAGCATTTCTAATAATCCTAAATTTCAAGGAAATGTGATACAGAACTTAATTTGAAAAGGGAAAAATATATTTTGCAAAAGCTGTCTACTTTGAATGATAAATATTTAATTAGGAATGACAAAATTCCTTCGTAAATCAATCATGATTTTTCTTTACGCTCAACTTATACCTCTAACCAATACAGAGCTCCAAAGCTAAAAGACAGTTCTTATATGAATGAAAATCAAAATGATTATTAAAATTGTATTTCTCTTGAACTTCAAATAAGTTATCACCAGATTATATATGTATTGATTTTTGTTTATTTTACCCTTTTTTTTTTAATAATTAGCCAGGTAAGAAATAGATATTCAATTTCAGGATATAAAAGAAAAAAATTCTCTGAAATTCTGGGATGAGGAGTTATCATTATTTACATTATTTATACTCTGACTATTGTCCTCATCTTTGTTGTTTTTATCATATTTCGGTCATTGTGGCCTCTTTGGCTAACCTTCAGGAAATTCAAACTGAAAGCTTTATTGTTCTTGTTCTGCTATCCATATATATATATATATATATATATATATATATAAATAAATAGGTATTCTCCAGATACTGCTTGTTCTATTTCTACTGAGTCTAAGTCTGTACTACTGGGCCCATAGATTGAACTCACAATTACTATGGCCACCAAATTCACAAATCAACTCTTTAAATCTACTCAGCTATTGTTCATGATTAACACCTGAAGAAGGCCAGAGAGCACAACAGCTTTGATAACAACAAAGAAGAGGACATTAATCCAAATGTAGATAAAACATATATTCTAGCCTTAAGATATCATAGCAATCTATTTAAACATCATTTGAAGTACAAGAGATAAAGGAATGGGGAATCAATTTGATCCAACATAAGTTTAAAATGATCTGTAAATATAAAAGAATATAAGATTATTCAATATTATTGAGAAGTCGGATTAATTGAAACAACTGAATTTAAGAGGTTTCAATGGACATAAAAAAGTATCAACAGTATGTAAATTTAGTTGGGTTCTCTGGATACTATAATCTGATTGGCTAAAATATTAACAATATTATCAGAATGCAGATAAAACCTTTGCAGAATTATCTATAGTGAAGATTTGATATGCTTTTTAAAATGGAATATTTCTTCAATAGCTCTACATTTTTCTAAAAAGCAAAACAAATTTTTTTGTTAATCATAAAGAAAAACCTTTTTGGATGGCATTTTATCTATTCAATCAATCAGAGAGAGAAAAAAAAACTGAAACAGTTTTGATAGGACTCAAAACTTAATTCCAATGATTTAAGCAAATTTAATCAAAAAAATTCTCTTTACTTCCGTAACAATCAAATTATCATCTGAAACAGACAAAGATTTTCTGACAACAAAAATAAAGATTCACATACCTTGTGTTCCTGTTCTTGAAGTAATTTGGCAAGCTCCTATAAAAGACAAAGAGAAAATGTTTTTTCAGAAGAAAGGAAAAAAAAAACGAAAAGAAAGAAATCAGTTTTTATTGGTTTTAATATATGCAATTAGTTTTTGAGAAGAAATGGTTCAACTTGTGCAGAGAAATCTGAAATATTTTTCATTTGTTTTCTTTGGAATGTATTATTCAGACAGTTTCTTAAAATAAGAGTCAATTTGGCAGGTGTTCAGTGTTTATGTATCTATAACCCCCAGCATTAAAACTAGTTGAAAAATTGTCTGTGAGTGTTAGATTTTAACTTCTATATTCAGTTTCTTTATTTGGTCTTCTTTATCTACAAGTGATGGCAGGCATTTTTAAAACTGTGAATATAAAGATTGCCAATTAAAAAAGAACTTGAGAGATAACTGGTTTACTTCTATGAACTTTATAAAATATTGTGTTAAATGCAAATATTGGTTTTGATTGGGAATATGTGAAACCATTTGATGACATATAAGACACCTCTCACTCCAATGTACATTTAATACTATGAAGTTAAGCTAAGTATTAGTAGTCTATAGCACCTGAACAAATATTAGCCTATCAGATACCACAACTTTGCATATAAGATCTTGGAAATATTTTTTAGGCCATATGTATATTGAGAAAGGGTGTCTCATATACCAGTGAATACTATATATTTTAGAGTTTCATGCTTTCACGATCTTCAGACAAACTATGAAGTTTGTTTGAAAATCACAAAAGCATGAAACTTGGGGTTACAAACTACTATCCATGCAACTGCATATACAAGCTCTATCACAGATATTGAGCATTTTCCACTAAATACTGTGCATATATATATATATATATATATATATATATAAAATCATTTCACCCCAAGCCAGGTGGTAATACCACTAGTAGGCAGGGGATTACAGAGAGTGAAAGTGAAAAAGAAGACTGAGAATAGGGAGGGTTGAGGAAAGGACAAAAAAAAAAAAATGAACAGACTTGAAGAAAACAGAAGATGGCAATTAACGTTGCATTTAAAGTTTTGATGATTGTAGTTATCAGGGAAGCAAGGAAACAGAAGGGAGTTTCACAGATGGAAAGTGCAAAAAAAGAAACTGTTGAAGTAGAAATGAGAGTTGAATTTAGCTATTTCAATAGTAAAACAGTGGGACCTAGTTGCCAATCTAGTAACATGCTTAAATTCATGTAGTCAGGGCACTAGAAAAAAACTTGTCAGAGCAGTTGTCATGAAAATATTTGTAGAAAAGAGAGTGAAGCAATGTCACATTGGTAAGAATGTAACTGAAGTCAAGATACCTGGTCAGGATTACAAATCCTGCTTTGGATTTTTTCAAGACTCTTGAGATTATATATATATATATATAAAATGGATATGAGTATGCCTGTACATTTGTGTTTGTCCAATAACTCACAGTGGTTTATACTGCAAATATACTGAGCAAACCTTAGTTACAGTTTCTGGGAGAAATTGTATTATCTGACATGATCAACAGTTTAAAAAAAGGCCAGTACACTAAATGCAGTTGTTTGTTAACTTAACTTCTTATTTATTAAAGGATTATTTAGTGTCTTTTTGTTTTTTCTTCTTGCCAAAACAAGAATTAAATGATATGTTTGCCTTCAGTGTAAAGTTGTTTTCAATTTTTTTATATGTCAGTGCAATGCCTTTTTGCCACAGCTGATACTATTATATTTGTTTGTGTGTGTGTGCCTGCATGTTTTGAAACCCCAAGGCCAAATTACAATCCAAAATGTTTCAAGAAATATAAAAGCAAGCAACACCAAAGCAAGAAAAAAAGATGTCATAAGTGAAACTGTTTTGAAAACTCAGCAAAAAAGTTAGAAGTGCAGGTGGATGATAATGCAAAATATATTACTACTGAATAGAGATATTTTAAATTTTTAATGCAAAACAATGCATTTCAAGAATCAGTACTAATAATGATGGATGTGTGGATAGTATAAAGGTTATCAGCATCAAAAGTGGAGTTGGTGAGCAGAGTTCAAATTCCAACCTAGTTAGTTGCATTCATTTTCTCACTAATGTCCATGAAACTAATAAGTGAAACCTATTAGTTTTTCCTACTTGTCCCTTATTTAATCATTTTGTCAGATTCAATTCATATCTTTAACTCATCTCTCCCCTCTCCCTCACACACATTTCCATTTGCCATTAAATTTTCCTAATATATATTAGGAAAATTAATGGCAAAGTTTACATTAATGTAGCTACACATGAAAAGAGAGGGGATTCTGAAATTTTAAACTTTTAAATTTCATTTTTTCCATGAAAAATATTTTCCACTGTCTTTAATTTTTTTAACATTGGTATGGAAAATTATATATAATTTTCACTTTCTTGTGTGTATATTATATATATATATATATATATATAATAATGAGGAGATAATCAAAGACAAAAATTTTTTAAAATTAAGCCAAGAAGAGATAACATGTAACAGTAAATTGAATTTCTATATACATTTTGTGACCCCACTCACAATTGGATAAAGTTGTAAGACAAGCAGCTGTTAAGATGAAGACATTATTCATAACATTAAAATAATCAATGAAGACATCCACAAAATATTTCTGTTATATAGGAATAAAGTGTCGCTACTGACACAAGTTTGAACAAAGATCGCCAGAGTAAACACAGGTGATCCCATTATTGAATTAAGTAGATCACATGACCATATAGAAAACACGTAAGCTGACAACTAACGATCTGTTTCTATTCTATCCTCTATTACTACTCTATCCTCTATTACTATATAGACTGCTATTCACTATACTATTTCTCTATATGGAGTACTATTTGAGCAAGTACTATTAGTGCCAGTGCTATTGTTCAACAGTATACTATAGTTGTATCTGCAGTCACAAAGTCTCTACTACAATGAGCATTACAGAAGTGACAACAAGTATTCGTTGACATTACAAAAGTGTCAACTGAGTGTTTATTCGAGTCACAAAAATTTCAAACTAAGATCTACTACTGTTTGTACTTCTACACTTTATAAATAATAAAAAAAATGTTTGGACAAAAACTTCAAACTATAATTGTATTGTTTTAATTAATGAAAATTACCTACAAATGCAAATATTCACTATGCTCAGGTTATACAAAATACATATCAAAAGGTTAAGAAATTCACCCCCACATCTGAATGTATAATAAGGTGATGGATGTATTTAATGGACAATTTCATTATTTTCAATAATATTGTCTTATTTGAAGAAATACTAAAAAAAGAATTCACACCAGAACATTGAGAGTATTAGAAATTTGAAGATATAAAATCCAACATTCCCAAAATCTGTGTATGACCTCAAGAGATTTACTGAATTATTTTAAACCTATTATTCTTTGAGTAGCTCATCAGGTTAATGTTACCTAAAACAGAAAAACTTTTAAAAGGTGTCTCCTTATGAACATATATAAATATTTTGAGGATTGGAGGCCCCGCCCAGATTAAAGTGAGGAAAACTTGCACAAAATGTCATATATATATATATATATATATATATATATATATATATATATATGTGTGTGTGTGTGTGTGTAAGATTGAGATTAATGTTCTATTGCTAGAAAGAATGTATTAGTTTTCAGAAATACTCTGGTCCATTATTTATTTTAGCAAAACAATGTTATGTTATATATATATATATATATATATATATATATATATATATATATACACACACACACACATGAGTTGAAGAACAAATGTAGATCAGATATGGATAGGAATCTGACAAGATAAAAGAACAAGTAGGAAATGTGTTTCAGTCTAACATGTTTCACCTTTATTATGGCTTTCTTAGAGATCAAGAATAGAAATGAAAAAAATGAAAGAGACAAAGTACATATTATTAGTTTTGTTTAGTTCTCATTGGTTAAACATGCACCATGTGTATTAATGCAATAAATAATATTTAAATATGTGTGAGGAACATTATGAACCTTAAAATGTGTGTTACTGTAAGAGTGTGTAAGTAAAGAAACACTTGTGTCTTTAAGTTAGGTATCTCCACAGAAAAAAAAAAAGTAAAAAAAAAGAAAAAAGCATAGCATGATGAAAAAAGGCCTTAAACTTAATAAAGACAGTTTTATTTTCTAAATGTGTGTTATTAAGAAGAAAGATCAATGCATTTTTTTATTATTTTATTAAATTTTTTAATCCTTTTTAACACATTTGGAATTTTGGTTAAAAATCTTTTTTTTTTTTTTTTTTTTTACATCAGCAGTCTACGTAATATTTACCACTAGTGTTTTAGAGCCTTTTAGGTGAAAAACATTTATTTGGAAATTCTTGCTAGAATCAAATAATTGACAGATTTTAATAAAACTTATTCACAGATGAATTAAATTATTTTAGACATGTTTTTTTTTTTAGAAAGTCATGGTAAAAATATTTTTTTTTTTACATCTGCTACCAACCCCTTTACTCAATTTTATGAAAACTCAAGAAATTTGACTGCGTAACTTTTATTGATCATATTAGTTAAAAGCAGAAGACTTTTTGTAAAATCATTCACACAGTTGCCGAAAATTCAACACTGAACTGTCACATACAAAACCCAATCAAACTAAGACATTATTTAATTAGAAAAGCTTACATGGCTTTTAGTATATATTAGGACAATATTGTCTGAAGCCAAAATATTTTTCTGATAAAAAATAAATTTTTAGAAGAATTTTCTTTATTTTTCAATTATAAATACAAAATGTGATAAAGATGCTAAATATTTTAAAATTAAGTTTCAATCCATGCAGTTTAGAGAATGCTGTTATTAAGTAGATCTATGTTTACAGATCATAAATTTGAAAACTTATTACAATCTGTGGCCCACATGTACTTTAAAAAAGAATTTTAAACTGTTTTTGAATGTGCATAAAAACTTTTTTCCCCCCCAAATATATGGTTGATTGTAAGCAACTTTAATGTTCCATGTTTTAAGAGTTGTTTCTCCTGACAGCAATAAACT